ACCATACATTCACCAATGGACAGGACATCCAGAAAGAAAAAAAAAAGAAAGGGAAATATCAGAGTTAAATATCAGAGACAAAATGGACCTAGCAAACATCTACAGGTTATTCCCTTACACTGAAGAACATATTCAAATTGACAAATGTGTTAAAGACAGAAATCTCATGCTTATCTCAATAGAGGCCAAAAGGCCTTTGACAAAAATCCAACATCCTTTTCATGGCAAAAGTGCTAGAGGAAATAGAACTGGAGGGAACATTCCTCAAAATATAACAAATTCACAGCCAACATCACCTTTAAATGGAGAAAAACTTGAATCAACCTTATTAAAATCAGGAACAAAACACTGCTAACTATCTTTATTCCTATTTAAAATAGTGCTCAAAGTTCTACCTAGAGCATAAAACAAGAGAATTGAAACAAAAGGATACAAATAGGAAAAGAAGCAGTCAAATTGTCACTATTTGGAGATGATGAGATACTATAAAAGATGCCAAGGACTCTGCCAGAAAATTCCTAGAACTTACTGCACTTTCCACAAAGTTGCAGGATATAAAATCAACATATAAAGAAGCTTTTTAGTTTCATAGTGTTCCATTTGCCTATTGTTGGCATTAATTCATGGGGATTCTGATTGCAGTTTTATTGAATCTGTAAAATGCTGTTGAAAGAATGGAGTTCCATTTAGAGTACATCTTAACTTTTCTGGCACTTTAAGGAGTTAGATTTCACATTAATGTCTTTAATCTACTTCAAGTTGACTTTTGGGCAGGGTGCTAGAAATGGGTCTAATTTCATTCTGTATGTGGACATTGAGTTTCCCTAGACCATTTGTGGAAGAATCTGTCTTTCCTCCGGTGAGTATTTTTGGCATTTTTGTAGAAAACGAGGCAGTAATAATTACATGGACATGTATCTGGATCTTCAATTCTATTCCATTGGCCCAATTTCCTGCCAGCGCTATGCTGTTTTAACTACTGTACATCTGCAATATCACCTGAAAAGAAATAAGATAGTCACTCCAGCATTATCCTTTTTTTTTTCTCAATATTTCTTTGTCTAGCCAGGGACTTACACACACACACACACACACACACACACACACACACACACACACACATTATTCTTTTGAGAAATCTTTATTCAGATATTTAATATATATATATATATATATATTCATTTGGTTAATTGTTGTTATTGCTTGGGATTAGATGGCCTAGTTTGTCATATCTCCATATCCTTTAGTTTTTCTTCTTTTTTCTTTTTAAAAATTGTTTATTTGCTTATTTATGTATTTCCCCCTCTTATTAAAGATATATTTTCTCATACAATGTATCTTGACTATAGTTTCCCCTCCTCCAACTCCTCCCGTACAGATGCCCTCTCTTTCTTTCTCTTATTAGAAGAGAGCATGCTTCTAAGAGGCAACAAGCAAACATGACAAAATAAAATATAATAGCATTTAAAAAACTATCATATTGAAGTTGGACAATGCACATAAGGAAAAGAGGCCCAAGAGAAGGCACAAGAATCAGAGAACACACATTCACACACTCAGGTGTCCAATAAAAATACTAAACTGAAAGTTATAATATATCCACAGAGGACTTGGCGCAGACCCATGCAGGCCCTGTGCTTACTGTTTCAGTCTTTGTGAGCTAATATGTCCTCCATCTCCTCTGGTTCTTAAATTCTTTCAGTCTTTTCCCGATGGGTTTTCTGAGCTCTGAGAAGAGGGATTTGATGGAGACATTCAATTTAGAGCTGTATGTTGCAACATAAGCTGTATTTTCTCTCTGCTTAATGCCTGGCATTTGGTCTCGTATTTTTTCCCATCTGCTGCAGGAGGAAGTTTCTCTGATGCTGGCTGAGGAAGGCACTGATCTATGAGTATAGCAGAATATTATTAGTAATCAATTTTTGTTATTTTTTTATATCAGTAGTATTTGGTTTCACCCTAGGTCTCTGGGGTATCTAGTCTCTGGTTTTCTGTCACCCAAGCAGTGTAGGGTATGGGTTCCATCTCATGGAGTAGGCCTTAAGTCAAATCAGACATTGGCTTGTGCCACCATTGTCCTAGCATATTTTGCAGGTAGGACAGACTGTAGATCAAAGGTTTTGCAGCTGGGTTGGTGTTTACATTTCTCTCTTGGTACTCGGCAGAGGACCTTCCCACAACAGGCACTATAACATGAGGTGAAGGTACATAGGCACTAGGTCAACATCTCCATGATCAATGAGTTGTATTGTTGTCTTCAGCAATGGGGCCTTGCCATCAGTTTGGAGAGACCAACCTATTATTTTGGCAACAGGCCAGGTTGTTTGGGAATTTCCATGGAACCCCTTTGGCCTACAAATCAATTGGATGCAACCGAGTCTCGGTACTGGAAGCTTCATCTGGTGACAAGAGATGGTCAGTCGGGACTCCATCTCCCTCATTATTTGGATACTTCTAATGAATCATACTTTAATGAATTATTTAAATACTCATAACAGATCACCTTCATATATTTTAGGAAGCTTCCACCGCACTGGGTTTTCACACCACCCCACAAATGCCCCTCAAATCCAGCTGTCTCTCCCTGTATTCCCTCCCTCAACCCTATCTCCACTCACACTTCCCATATAATCCTCCCATTCCAGCCTCCCAAAGTCAGTCCACGCACAAAATCTGTTCTATTTTTGCCTCGTAGGAAGATCCCTATATTACAGCTAGTCCCTTTCTTTATACCTAACTTCTCTGGGTGTATGGATTTTAGCTCAGTTTTCATTTACTTAATGGCTAATATCCACATATAAGTGAATACATTATTTATCTTTATGGGTCTGGATTATCTCACTCAGGATTATTTTTTCTAGTTCCATCCATTTGCCTGAAAAATTTATGATATCAATTTTTTTAGCAGCTGAATATACTCCACTGTGTAAGTGTGCCACATTTTCTTTACCCATTCTTCTATTGAGGAGCATCTAGGTTGTTTCCAGTTTCTGGCTATTATGAATAGAGCAAAAATGGACATGGTTGAGCAACTGTCCTTGTAGTAAAATCAAGTGTCCTTTAAGTATATGTCCAAGAGTTGTATAACTGGATCTTGAAGTTGATTGATTTTCATCTTTCTGAGAAACTGTCATATTGATTTCCAAAGTGGCTGTACAAGTTTGTAATCCCACTAGCAATGGAGGAGTGCTCTCCTAGTTCCACATCCTCGCCAGTATGAACTGTCAATTTTATTATTGATCTTAGATATTCTGAGAAGTGTAAGATGGAATCTCAAGGTAGGTTAGATTTGCATTTCCGTGCTGGCTAAGGATGTTGAATGTTTCTTTGTTTCTTGGCCATTTGAGACTCCTCTATTGAGAATTTTCCATTATATCTGTAACTACCTATTAACTGGATTATTTGGATTTTTGATATCTAGTTTCTTGAGTTCTTTATGTATTTTGGAAGTGGAATTGGAAAAAAATCTTTTTCCATTCTGTAGGCTGCTGTTTTGTCCTATTGACAATGTCCTTTGCTTTATGGAAGCTTTTCAGCTCATAAGGTTCCATTTATTATTTGTTAGTCTTAGTGCCTGCACCATTAGCGTTCTGTTCAGGAAGTTGTATCCTGTACCAATGAGTTCAAGGCTGTTCCCCACTTTCTCTTCTATCACATTCAATGTGTCTGGTTTTATGTTGAAGTCTTTGATCCACTTGGACTTGAGTTTTGTGGAGGGTGATAGATATGGATCTATTTACCTTTTTCTACATGAAGACATCCAGTTTTACCAGCAACATTTGTTGAAGATGCTGCCTTTTTTTTCCAGTGTCTATTTTTGGTTTATTTATCAAAAAAGTGGGTGCCTGTGTACGGATTTTTGTCTAGGTCTTCAATTGAATTCCATTGATCAACAAGTCTGTTTCTGTGCAACACCATGCTGTTTTTATTACTATAGCTCTGTAGTACAACTTGAAATCTGTGATGGTGATACCTCAAGCAATCCTTTTATTAGTCGGGATTGTTTTAGCAATCCTGTTTTAGTTTTTTTTTGTTTTTGTTTCTGTGTGTGTGTGTGTGTGTGTGTGTGTGTGTGTGTGTGTGAGAGAGAGAGAGAGAGAGAGAGAGAGAGAGAGAGAGAGAGAGAGGTTCCATGTATATTTTTTCTTCCTTTTTTCATACTGTTTTCTTTTTCAGTATTTTTCCAAATGATTAACATGGCACCAAAAGGAGATAAAACCCAGATCATGTAGTATTACCCCCATTTGGAAATACATGAGATATTGTGGCATCTTGGCATTTAGTCAGTGGTTGGAAAGATTAGAATCTGTTGGTTAAAGTGAGGCTTGAATATTATATATAAATATATATGTAACCCATCCTTATTTATTTAGACTCTAGAGTCACTGCCAAGTTGTGTATAAGCAATTTAAATTAAACCAGTAGATCTCAAATTCTGGAACCAGGAAGACAGCTCAGTTGGTAACGTCCTTGTACAAGTGTGAGGAAATGGGTTCAGACTCTCTTGACCAATATAAAAGCCAGGTAGATTTTACACATCTTAAATCCCAGAACTGAGGGGTAGAGGAGAGAGAAAGGCAGATCCAAGGAATTCACTTGGCCAGCCAGTTTAGACATAACAGCAAATTCCAAGTTCAATGAGACATGCCTCAAAAAATATGGTAGATAGGAAATTGAAGAAGACATCATGGCATCAACCTCTGGTCTGTACATGCTCCTACACAGGAGACTACACCAGATCAGATGCTTGCACACACACACACACACACACACACACACACACACACACACACACACACACGCCACAGACACAAAGAACAACAAGAAGAGGTAGTAGTACCAAAGATTGAAGTTAAGCAACTAGAGTATATCAATTTTTCTTTTATGACCATCAAACATTTTGAACATTACTTATCTGTTCTGATCCTTCCAAATTTCTTGTTAGAATCTATTATATAACATTGTTATTGTTTAATTTTAATTTTCATTCTTTGTACTAGATGGTTTCCGAAAAGTGATTGCACTGCAGGGTGAAAAGACTAGCGAGAAGAAGTTATCTCTGGAATTTCAGCATCCACTCTTCAAAAAAGGAGGAGCCTGTCTTCTTGGAAACATTAAGCGAAAGGTAGGAAGGGGACCCCTGTCATATACATTTCTGCAGAATTTAGGGTAGCATTCAGTCCTTACTTTAAACATTTCATGATTTCTCTAAGTCTTAGCATGAAGCTGCTGGAATTGGAAACTGGTTGCTAGGTACTTTTTTGGGTTGCTGTAACCATGACCTTTATGTAATGTTTGGGTAAGCTATTTTTTTGTGCTCTATTTTATTTTTGTGTGTCATTTTAGTATGTAGATATTATAACATTTTAGAAAATAAGCACAGGGGGCTAGGATAGATTATGAAATAGTAACTTGACTGTTGAGTACTGAGCAAAGTAACTACAGATTCTATCAACATACACCCATATCTGATGACAAATCAAAGCTACATATATAGTAGTTAAAGTCTTTCACTTACAAGATGTCTGTGTATGTTATAAATTCATGTGGACTTTTATATACTAGAAGTTCTGGACCAAAAACAAACACAGAAAGAAAATTTAGAATATCAATAAGCATAGTGGTTCTCAATACGTATTTTTTAAGTCTCTAGGAGTCTTAAGACATTTTTTGCAGAACTATGACAGATCTATATTCATAAAAAATCTATAGAAATAATTTTTCCATCTTTATTCTCTCATGATTACAGATCAATGTTCTTAGGAATGCGTGTTTGATTACATAAGTATTCCAATTTTAATGTGTAATGTGCACAGTATTACAGCTTTTAAATAAATTAATAATTATATTTTGTCAATTCAAATGTTATTAATTAGGTAAACATTTCCTTACAAGAATACACATATACTGAGCCTGTTTGCTCTCTACTTATTATTTTTCTTTGTTTCACTAGAAATGTTCACCTCCACATTAATTTTCTACATATTTTTATATGGAGAAAGTATAAATTTTGTGACTATATAAACTCTAGGAACCACAAATGAGAGGATATAGAGAACATTTGTCTTTCTGAAATTAGTTTCTTTCATTTCATTCTTATTTTTTTTTCTGAGACAGGGTCTTACTATGTAGTCCTGGCCGTCCTGGAACTTTCTCTGTAGACCAGGCTGACCTCAGACTCACAGTGATCCACCTGCCTCTGCCTCCCAAGTGCTAGGAATAAAGGCATGCAGCACCACTGCCTGACTTATTTTATTCTTTAAATATGATTGTTTCTAGTTGCATACCTTTTTCTACAAACAACAAAACTCCACTCGTCTTTATAGTTGAAAAGCACTTCCATCATGTATATGTGCAACAGTTTCTTTATCCATATTCTGTGGTTGCACACCTAGTTTGGTTCCATAACTTAGCTATTATGAATAGGGATGAAAATAACATTTGTGAACAGGTATCTCTGTGATATGTTGACTTTAGATAAATCACAATGATTTTTCACTTAATGTTCATTTTTTGGATTTTAAAATTTTATTTTATACATTTTAAATTAAAATGGAAGTACATTTCTTACATATATCCCTTTCCTCCTTCCAGACCCTTCCAAGTTCCCTCTCTCTAATGTCTTCTTCCATGGTCCTCTGCCCTCTGCCCCCTCTCAAATTGATGACCTTTTATTTATTATTGTTATACACATGTGCATATGTATGCACAAATATATTACTACAACATTCTGAATCCATTTTGTTGTTTCTGTGTATGATTTCAGTACTAACCACTTCGTATGAGATAACCAATTAGGTGCCTCATTGCTGGGAGAAGTAATTTTGTCTCTCACGGTAGTTGCTAGGTACCTATAGTTCTTTGTCTAGGGGTGAGGCCCATGTAGAAGGAGGAACTTTCACAGGGCCTCACCCCTAGACAAAGAACTATAGGTACCTAGCAACTACCGTGAGAGACAAATCCTCCTTCTACATTGGCATGTCTATTACCATTGTTCTTGTCTTTTATATGGAGCTGTTTTGGAGTTTTGTTTTGTTTTGTTGTTGTTTGTTAGTTGTTTATTTGGAGAGACTATTTCACAGAAGACTTCCTAATATTCTGGCCTTTAAAAAAATCTTCCTGCAACCTCTTCTGTGATGTTCCCTGAACTATAGATGCAGTAGCTGTGATGTAAAGGTATACTTTGGGGCTGCTTTTCCCACAACCCATTGATCTCTGCATTGTGTCCATTTTCTGTGATGCTTTCTATTTTCTGTAGAGAAAAGCTCCTTTGATGAGGGGTAATAGTTGTGGATATAAGGATAAGATTTAAAGTGTAATAAGGATTTATGCTGGTCTTGCAAAGTGCAAGTAGTAGATTCTTTTCTAAAGTCCATGACCTAGAAAGTTGGTTAGATTTCTAGTACCAGGCATGACTTCCCTCTTGTTGAACAGAACTTAAGTCCAATTAGGCAACTGTTGGTTATCACTCATTCAAAAGCCTCCTTCATTTCCATCTAGCTTCTATGGTGCCAAAAATACTATGCATCTGAGTTAGGTCAGGCAAGGGGAACTCGTAAATGAAGAGTTCATGGCCACAGGTCTAGAAATAGCCCATCAGTTTGCAGATGGCAGATGTTTAGGGGAAGTAGAGGAAGAGAAGATGAGACTTATCCAGGAAATGTAGTTTTCACACAAAGAGGGTTGGTTCAACAGAGTCCATGGGTTTGAGCTAGGTACCTTTCTGTCTTTTGGTTATTTGGGCCAGAGGTCTGTAAATCTTTTATTTGTCTTCTCAAAGAATCAGCTCTTGGATTTATTGATTCTTTGTTTTGTTTTCTTTGTATCTATTTCATTAATCTTTCCTCTAATTTTTGTTTTTATTATTTCCTGTCATTGCCTGAATTTGAATTTGGCTGTCCTTGCTTTTCCAAATTTTTGAGTTGCATCATTAGGTCAATTATTTGTGCTTTTTCTAATTTTTTTAATATAGTCACTTAGAGATATAAATTTCCCTCATATGACTTCTTTTAATGTGTCCTGAATGTAGTCTGAGTTGACACCTGTGTTTTTTTGTTTGTTTGTTTTTGTTTTTTCAGAACTTGGATTACATTGTTTCAATATTTGTGGCTTTCAAAGTTTCCATTGAGAAATCAACTGTTACTCTGATGGATTCTCTTTGTGGGTGATGCGTCGCTTTTCTCTTGATGCTTTCTGTATATTCACTGTTTTAGTTATTCTATATAGCCAGGCGGTGGTGGCGCACACCTTTAATCCCAGCACTCCACTCAGGAGGCAGAGGCAGGCGGATCTTTGTGAGTTCGAGGCCAGCCTGGTCTCCAAAGCGAGTTCCAGGAAAGGCACAAAGCTACACAGAGAGAGAAACCCTGTCTTGAAAAAAACAAAGAAAAAAA